AAAGTGATTTCCTCACAATAGACCTATGAGGCACATAGTATAAGCATTATAATGTGTATATAATTGCCACCAGTAGACAGATGGGCACAGGAGACAAGAGGGCAGCAGCATGTCCCGGGCTACCATCCCTGCTTTTAGCCCAGCCTCCATGGCCATCATCTGGGGAAGCCACTCCCATAGAGAGGGATTCTGGTCATCTCCACCAATATCCACCAAACTGGCATATGTTCACAGGGCAGAACAACTAGTCTAACTGAGGCAGCAGAACACCCCGAGGTAGAGACAGGAGGCAGTATGTGACAGGCAAGTCAAGCCAGCATCACCATACTGATGACCATCTCCTCTTAGACCCTGTCCCCAAGAGCCTTGGGGATAGCAATGCTTCTAGTCTATCACCCTGGGAAGCAACATGTACATGTGGACATGCAGTCTGCCAATTGGTCCTATAGGTGCTCTAGCCACAGCTATGAAGACCCAGAAAAGGCTCTCCCCACTCCAGTCCCTGGTATAGTCAAACGGTTCAACAGTAGAAACTGATATAATTTTATCAGTGTAAATGACGTATTAGCATCTGTTTTGCCCCTGCCACCTAAGGATCATGGGAACTTTCCATCTGCCTTGTGGCTGAAACTTTCCATGTGTATTGTGTGCTCAGTTAGAATGTGAGCTCCTTGAGAGTAGGGATTGTCTCACTTTTCCACCTCTAGCTCCAGCTCACGGCACAGTGTTTTGCACACAGTAATCACTTAATAAATGCTTTCTTCATTGATTATCACTCCTATTTTATAAATAATAATAATAATAATAATAATAATAATAATAATAATAATAAGTAGTAGTAGTTACATAGCACTTTAAGGTTTGTAAAGTGCTTTGAACATAGCGTCTCATTTTATTCTCATAGCAACCTTGGGGGTCAGTGCTATTACCTCATTTTACAGAATAGAAAACTGAGGCAGGCAGAGGTTAAGTGACTTGCCCAGGACCGCATATAGCTAGCTAGTCAAAATTAAGATTCGCACTCAGGTCTTCTAACTTTGAGACCAGTGCTCTTTCTATTACATTATTCTGCTTCTTTGTGGAAGTCCTGTCTCCTCAATTAGACTTTGAGGTTCTTGAGAGTAGGGACCTTGCTTACACATCTTCATATCTCCAGATCCCTGTCCTTAATATACATCTACTATTCATAGGATGTGGAGCTTGAAGACCCCTTAACAACCAACTAGTGCAACCTTTCATTTTGCCAAGGAGGAACTGAGGCTCAAAGAGCTTCAGTGGTTTATCTAAATCCACACAGGTAGTAATTAGTAGAGGTGGGGTGCATGGGGTGCTCAGGGAGGGCTGGCACCTCTGGTGTGAGGGCTGCTATTGACTTTGGTGTCCACCTGCTTCACCCAATCCTCACCTGCGGCTCCAAGGAGCTGGAGCTTGTGAAGTGGCCACCTTCTCAGCAGCTGGGCTAACCCAGTTTGAAGGTAACCCACAGGCCTCAGAGCCGTTAGTGAGTGAGGGGGATGTCTACCTCGAGCATATGAAGACTACCCTTGGTGGAATGGGCAGATGAGAACAGTTTGTTCTAATGGCCATGAAGGAGGCTAAAGCAGGTTCTGTGGAGAGATTAGAGCTTGGTCAGACATCAAAGATGCCAAGGTCATCCACCGCATCCTGGGCCATGCTGCCAGTCATCTAGTCTTTTGTCCTGCCACTGGACTTCAATGACTCTGGAAGAGACGGTGGAGCTGACCACTTTGCACAACTTGCCTCTCTTAAATTCAATTCACCCCAAAGTCAAGACATCATCCTGTGATGTCATTGGTTTTAATCAAAAACAAAGGACAAACGGTAAGAATTATAGAAGTGGGATCTGTATGCAGGTCCCCTACACCATGTTTGCTGTTTTTGTTGATCATGTTGATGATGATGGGAGGTGCAGAAGAGATGTTCTCGATCCAGAACCTTCCTAGTGTCCCTTAGTTTTTGCAAAGCCGTTCTTTGGCTAAGGCGAGAAGAAGAGGTTTCAGTAATTCATCACCCCCCTTCTGTAATACTCAAACCCCCTGCTCTGCACCCTGGCTTCCTGCAGGGCTAAGGAGCACAGACCATTCCAGCAGAATAGGAAGAATGGAGGACTTGGACTCTGGTTCCAAAGCACAGAGAATGTTAGCATTGGAAAAGACCTTTAGTATCTCTTAGGCCAGGGGTGGGGAGCCTGCGGTCTCAAGGCCATATATGGCCCTCTAGGTCCTTTGACTGAATTCAACTTCACATAATAAAAGGATTTGTTCTGTGAAGTTTGGATTCAGTCAAAGGGCCGCACTCGAGGATCTAGAGGGCCACATGTGGCCTTGAGGCCGCAGGTTCATGGGGAACCCTGTCTTAGGCCAACAGCCTCATTTTACAAGAACAGAGGTCTGGAAAGAAGAAACTCCCTAAAGTCTTTAAGGTTGTCAGTACCTGAGATAGGGTTTGAACTTCGGTCCTTGGACTCCACATTTTGTGCCCTCAATATTACATCTCATCACTTGGGAGATGATGGCTCCTGGGAACCATGTCTTAAAGGCTCAGTTTCCTCATCTAGGTGGTGCAGTGGATAAGGCACTACGCCTGAAGTCAGGAAGATTCCTCTTTTGAGTTCAAATCTGGCCTGAGACACTTACCAGCTGTGTGACCCTGGGCAAGTCACTTACCCCTGTTTGCTTCAGTTCCTCAATCTGTAAAATGAACTGGAGAAGGAAATGGCAAACCACTCCAGTACCTTTGCTAAGGAAACCCCACACGGGGTCACAAAGAGATGGACGCGACTGAAAAAGACTGAACAACAACAAAATGTGGATAATAATACTTTCATTATTTATCTCAGAGAGTGATTGTGATAATCAATCAACCAGCAAGCATTTATTAATTACCTACAATGTACGAGGCACAGTGCTAGATGCTAAGGAAAAATTAAATAGTCCTTTCCCTCAAGGAATTTGGGGAAGAAATCGTATATGTATGTATACCTGTGTAAATTTTCTATTATATGTATTGCCATGTATATATGTATATACACATATATTGTATCATATATACACATACATATTACATGCAAAATATGAATAAGATAATTTTGGGGAGAGGGCACCAAGTGCTTTTGAGATTAGGAAAGATTTCCTGTAGAAAGGGGCACTTGGATTGAGCTTTGGGGGAAACAACCCAACAAAGGATCTTAAGGATAAAAATTATTTGTAAATCTTAAATTGCTGTGAAAATGTGAGCTTTAAGGCTGCACTTTCTCCCCCTCCCAGTACAGGTTGCTCCTGAATGGTATAGAGGGAAAAGTAGCAGATCAGGATTCAGATGACCAGAGTTCAGATACTGTCTCTGCCACTTACTTGTGTGACCTTGGGCAAGTAATTTAAAATCTCTGGACCTCAATTTTCTCAGTTAAAAAACAAGGGTGTGTCACATTCAGTGACCTCTAAAGTCCCTTCCAGCTTCCATTCCAAAGTATCCATGATACTTTGACATGATACCTCATCCCAAAGGAAAGAACATCCCAGTCCAACCAGCCTGTCTAGTTACTTTAGGCAGCTTTCTTGGGTAGGCTTAGGATATAGGGGGAAGAGTGGCTTAGGCTTGAATAGGCCATTCAGCTGCCTGGCCTGAGGCCATCTACTGACCTGGGTCTGAGAGAGAGTAAAGGAGACAGGGTTGGTTTTGTCTCAATCTTCAATTATTAGAAGGTCAGGCCATCAATAGTAAGGTGAGTAAGCTCTGACCTGTAGTGACTTGCCATCAATCTTGTGAATCAACATGTCTCTCTATCTCTCTCTTTCATTTTCTTCTAACTATCCTAGCCCTTCAGGAGGTAATGTAACTTGTTGAGGGACCAGGAAGCCCAAGGCAAGTCCCAGCTCTGACCCTTAACCTCTTGACTCTGGGGAAAGGGTGTGGACTGTCCTTTCAAGTTTCCTTTTGCAGTAAAGTCAAAGAAGTCACAGAGATGGCTTGTTTGAGGTGGAGTTCCCAAAATGATGTAATCCATGGAAGTATCACTAGTATAAGTGACTACTTGGAAGGGCAGCACATGCTTAGAGTGAAAATTCTGCTCGGTTTAAAGCGTGGCTGTTCCCTTTCTTAATTGTTATGCCTCTATGTGATGTCATTTCCCTTCAACAACCCTAAATGCTTTCACACAACTTGGGTGGGGACACCTCCCTAGATCCTGGAAATATTGTCTGCTGATTTCCTGAATTCCTTGCACAGTCATGAAGAGAGGGGCTAGAGCTGGTGGTTGGCCCTGAGGGAGCTAAGACTTGGATCAATATTTCACAGATTCTTGTTTTCAATGGTGTGGGTTTGCCCTACTCCAGAAGGGTGCAGCAGGCAACCCTTCAATTCTTTCCTCAGTGGATGGTCTTCATGAATTGATAACAATAACAACAAACAATTGCCTGTTGACCCCTGTCTGGTGATGATCCTTTACATGCTTGGCTAAGCTGGTCTTTTGACAAAAGACATAGTCCATCATTGGCTCATACTCACGCTTCTCCAGCTTGGTGGGACCTGACAGAGCCTTGGGCCTGTTGTCTTGGAAGAACCAAGGTCACCTCTCTGCCAGATTGAGGCTTTAGTGGAGGTGACTAATAATGACATTAATAATGTGATGTTCTAGACTCATGATGAAGAATGTTACTCACTTCCGGAGAGATAATTGGTGATCTCAAGTGCAGATTGAAGCATACTTTTTCACTTTATTTTTCTTGCTTTTTTTTGGTAACATGACTAATACAGAAATATGTTTTGCATGACTTCATATGTATAGTGGGTATCATATTTCTTGCCTTCTTGATGAGTTAAGGGGGGTGGAAGGAATGAGAGAATTTGGAACTAAAAATAAAAATAAAATAAACAAACAAATGAATGAAAGAATGAATGAATAAATAAATAAATAATGTTCAGTCGTGATGTCCATTATTCACTTTCAATAGACTGCCTGCCTGGGCTTGTTTTTCCAGTACAGAGACTCACAGTATAGTGGATGGAGTACTGAATTTGGAATCAGAAAGGATGAGCTTTGAATCCTAGCTCAGACGCTTATTAGTTATGTGACCCTGGGTAAGTGACTTTAACTTCTCTAGGTCCATTTCCCCATCTATAAAATGGAGATAATAATAACATCAATCTCACAGGTTGTTGTGAGGCTGAAATAAGATAACAATAATATTATACAATGCTTTATATATAAATACACACTATATAATATGTAATATTTGTACATAACATATTATATTATAATATATTTACATATAATATATAATATTTACATATATTATATAATATTTATTTACAATATAATAATATATACACTTTAAGATTCACAAAGAACTTTACACACGTTATCTCACTGATCCTTACAACAACTCTGTGAGGTAGATACTATTATTATCTCCATTTAACCAATTAAGATATTGAGGCCAAGCAAAATGAAATGATTTGCACAAAGTTTGAACTCTGGTCTATCCTGACTCCAGGTCTAGCTTTTTTATCTACGGCAACCCTTGAAAGCCTTACAGGGCTATATAAATGTTAACCTGTGGTAATATAGTTAGTAAGTGTCCGAAGTGAGATAGTCACACAAATAACTATACTACAAAATATTGTATGAGTATATTGAGAAAAGTAACTTCCCACTACTTTTGCTGGTATTAGTAGTTGTTATTGGAGTGTGCTTCTATTTACACTAACTCATCGTAGTCTAATTCTCCCTATGTTCAATGGCACATGTTAGTGAGATGGCCCATCAGAGGTGAGAGAATTGGTCTGTCCATGTTTACTGAGCAGAAAAAAAGCTCGGGATCACATAGGGGTCCAACCCAGGACCTGGAGGTCATGAACCCACATTTCTGAGCTAGCTAGAAAATGGGGAAGCAATTTAGCTCTAGAATTGATTGGGTTCTAGAGTCAAATAGTGAGGTTGGTGATGGAGAAAAAGACCCCCTCTCAAGTCTGGAGAGTGTAAATTCATTACCAGTAAGAGTAGAATTGGGCATTTTGTACAGTAAGAGCAGAACCAGGCTTCTTATACAGTCATCCTTTGACACTGGTAGGGAATTAGGAGCATAGGAACCCTGCAAATATGAAAAACCAGAGATAACTCTAGGCCCCACACCAAACCTTTATTTTTAATAATTCTGATCATATTTGTTACACAAAATAAGGAAAACAACACATTGTACCTATAAAAAGTTGCAGTTTCTACGAAAGAGAAGTCTGCATCTTGCACGCTCTGGAGAGTCTTTGTAGCTGGTGGTGTAGCTACAGCAACTGCTTCATGGATTTCCTTCTCTTATGAAATATGCAAGATACAGTGGTCACTGTGGAAGAAAACCAAGGGACTGAGTCTGGACCAGAGAGTGACAAAGAGGAGATGTTCCCAAAGAGAGTGAGTATCCTGTAGTTCTTTAGTACACTGAAACTTTCAACAAAAATTAACTGTTTATAATAAATTCATGTATGTATACTTAAGGTAGTAAATGATAAAATAGATGAATAATGTGCAGTATTTATGAGTCACTAATTTTTAAAGTTTTCTTTATACATGCACATCATCTGCATTTTTCTGCAATGTGCAGCAAATCTCCAAAAATTCCCACTTAATTATCGATGGCCAACCCGCAATAACCAAAACCATGAATGGGAAAGCCTTGATTGTCGAGGGATGACTGCACTTTAAATGTGGCCACCAAAAAAAAGCCACCAAAAGAGGTGCTGACTCATCAGTCTAGGGTCGAAGAGAGATAGGTGAGGGGCCTATGGAAGATCAGACTGTGGGCCAGAAAGGAATGGAAGCCTATGGCTCAGAAGGGAGGGAACATCATTGGGAAATATTTATTGACTCAAAGCAATCTTTGCAAGTCCAAAGAGCCCAATGATTTTTATCTTAATTTCATTTCTGTTATTTAAAATTTTTATTTATTTATTTATGATCAGTATTTGTTTTATTTTTATTTCTGTTATTTAAAAATTAGTTTTATTTTTATATCACAGTCATTTTCAGATACAATTCCCTCCTTCCTCCATCATGTCTCACTTCCCCAGTGAACTCTGCCTTGGGCCAAAGAAACTAGTTAAACATAACCAACCAGTCTAGGGGCTTTGACTGAAAGGATACACAAAAGACTGTACCTGTACAGTTACCCCTTCCACATCATGCCTTTCTCTATTGCAGTTTTGATTTATTATGGATCGGCAAAAGAAATTAAATGGGAATTTTTTGTAAGTTTTGCAGAAGCAGCAGACAACACCTGAAAGCCAGCAGACAATCCAGAAAAAGTTTAGAAACTCAGAAATGCATAAAATATATGTACTATCAACATATTTTATCTTTTAATACCATAAAAATTCAGACTTCTTCTCTGGTACAAAGGCAACGCCATAAAGTTTTGCATGGATTTTCTAGATTTCAGGGCTGCCTTCCCCTAACCCCATAATGTGGAAGGGATAACTGTAGTCCCTTCTTCATCTTTCCTGAAAGAAGGGAGGTACATTTCCTTATCTCTTCTCTGGGGCCGAGAATGGTCATTATGGATGACAGTTTATTTTTTTTAGAAATGAAAACAGAATTGGCTTATAACTTTAGTTTCATGAGATGAGGGTAACTAAAACCTGTATTAATGACTTCCTGTAAGAGAAGATACAAGAAGAGATGTACTACCTCCCATTATTTTGTGGAGTTCTGATCCTTACCTACTGGATTCCTACCTGTCCTTCAAAGCATAACTCAAAATTCACCTCTTCCTTGAAGCCTTCTCTGATCCCCTGACTCAGCAATGGTCTTCCTTTCTTGTACTTCTCTAAATGCACAGTATAGTTATTTGTGGGAATTTGCCATTTCCGGCATTTATCGGTCTTGTATCTATCAGCAGGTCCTTAACCCTTCCGAGACTCAGGCAAGCACCTAAAACTATTTCCTAAACTATAGATGGCTTACAACCTGCATCAGTAAGGCATAATGTTGAAATGGAGGTCAGGAAGACTTGAGTTCAAATATGGCCCCAGACACTTACCAGTTGTGACCATGGGCAAATCAATTTGGCCTCTGTTTGCTTCAATTTCCTCACCTATAAAATGGAGATAACAAAAATAGCACCTACTTCCAGAGCTGTCATGGAGATAAAAATGCGATAATATTTGTAAAGCACTTTGTAAACCATGAAGTGCTATGTAAATGCCAGCTACCATGATCATGATTATTTTAGGACCCATTACTTTATTAAAGTCTGCACTGGAGTCTTCCTCCGCTGTTTCCTCATAATGTGAAGGTAATCCAGAGTCCATGGGCTCATAGGCCTCTAGCTGGAAGGGACCTCTACTTATCTGGTCCAGTCCTCTCATTTCGTATATGAGGAAACTGAGGCACTAAAAGACTTGCCTGATATCACATAGGGGCTAAGTGTCAGAATGGAATTTGACCCTATATCATCTGACTCCTAATTTGGCATTTTCCATTATGCCACACTGGTCTATACCAGTGAAGAGGGAGCATCTACCCTGATGAAAATTGTGGATCCTTCAAGTATGTATGCTTTCATGATGAATATAAATACTGTATCGTAATAAATAGTAATCACTGCAAATTATACCAATGTATGACCTTAAAGGTCTCTTATAGCTCAGAGGTTTTGTTAGCACATTTCAGTGTGAAATAGTTTAGAAGTGTTTTATGGACACTGCTTTCTGGTCTTCAGTTTTCTCAACTGTAAAATAATAATAATGAGAATAATATTTGATTTGGATCTGTGATTTGATTGCTATGGGGAACCTCAGGTGATAAAGCTCTCTCTACCAATTAATCAATAATCAACAAGCATTTATTAAATGTCTGCTACATACCAGAACCATGCTAGATGCTGGGAATACAAAAAATGAAACAATCTGTGCTCTCAAGGGACTGGCCAGGGGACACCATGTGTGTGCGTGTACACTATACAGAAATTATATACATAGAACAAGTAAAAATAAATTCAAGGTAGTTAAACACAAAGAAAGTTCCCCACTGCCATGCTTTGAGAGGGAGGGTGCTAATTGTTGGGGGAGGGGGACAGGAAAGAGTTTCTGCCAAGTTTCTCAAGCTGCATCATGAAGGAAGTGAGGGATTCTATGAGAAGTAACGAGGTGAAGAGGGAGGTATTACAAGGATAGGAGACAGCAGGTACAAAGGCCCAGATCCAGAAAATCGTGTAAAGGAGAAACCAGTGCAGATCACTACTGGGCTCAATAATTTAGTCTCAGAGAATTACCTAGGGCGCCCAGAGGTCTTATGACTTGCTCAGGGTCACACGATCAGTACATATCAGATGTGCTACTTGAACCGAGCTGCCCAATATCTGGCAAAATTTAAATTATCTTTAAGGTTTGGAAGGTATTTTACATACATGATCTTATTTGAGCTTTATGATAACCCAGTGACCTCAGTAGTATAGGAAGAATTATCTCCATCTTACAGATGAGGGACCTAAGGTTTAGAGAAATTAAACAATTTGCTCACAATCACACAGATAGTAAGTGAGAGAGGCAGGATTCAAACTCAGGTCTTGCTGACTCCAAAATATTTGTACTACTAAATCCAATGGACCTAAGACAGTCTCCTCTGTCCTTCACTCAAGTTCTTTGGCCATCAGTCAGGGAGGAAGTTCTTTCTCCCCATTGTACAGATTCACCCCGTGAGGCTCCATCAGGTGAAGCCATTGTGCAGTGGAATTCAAAGGAGTGAGCCGCCATGCTGGGAAAAGAGCCCAGGCCTCTCGGGTACACACAGTCCAAGCCTCCGTCTGTGACTAGGATCGACTGCTAGGCAATGCCAAAGAGTTAAAAATAGATTTTGAAAACAAAACAAAACTTTCTGCCTAGGGAGGTGTTGGCTGGTGGAGGCTCCAAAGTTCTATTCCTGGCCCTCCTGTTGATTTGTGGTATGACCTTGGGGAAGCTGCCCTGACGCGCAGTTTCTGTTTTTTCATCTGCAGTGCTGAGGGAAGAATATGGGCTTGCCTCCCAGGGACAGGGTCAGAAGCTGGGCCAGCCTTCTACAGAAACAGAGACAGCAGCCTCTTACCTGGTGCTATTTTATAGGGGTGAGGAAGGGGGATAACCCCCAAATATCACTTCTGGCATCTCCTAGAGAGGTGGTAGAAAGGCCTGGGAGTTAGGAGGCCAGGGCTGGTGTTCTGCCTTGTGACCTTGAGCAAACCAGTCTCTCTGCATTTTAGTTTCCTAACCACCTCTGTTTAAAATGAAAAGTTTGGGAGATATTAACTTCTAAGGTCTCATGCATCCCTAGATCAAGGGGCCTGTGACCCATTCAATGAAGCGCACAAGGTGTTCTTTTCAATGCAGATACAGTGGGCAGAGTTCAAGCACTAAGTCAGCATTCATACTTTAGTGAATCACATTACTTTTCTCTTAATTGCAAAATGATATATATAGTCCACAGAGGAGAAGAAGGATAATTTTGGTGCAGGAGATAGACCTGAAGTGGTATACTTTGGGCAGCCACAGGAACTGGGTGGTTTGGGAAGAGGAAGGTGAGGGAAATGCCCCCCTTTTTTGCCTTAGAGGGGCCGTGTGGTATAGAAAAAGTTGTCTTGGGCTTGACCTGAGGTTAGGAAACCTAGATTTAAATCTGGCCTCTGAAAATTCCAACCTGTAAGACCTTAGACAAGTAAATTCATATCTTGTAGCCTCAGTTTCCCTATATATAAAAATGGGGCTAGATACGAGGACTACCTACCCCATAGGATTATTGTGAGAAGAACGTTTTGTCAGCTTTAAGGCACTTGTTGATTTTGCAGTTGCTCGTCCTTTGTTCTCAAAGAGGACCAATGACGTCATGTGTGTATGTCTTGACTTGTACAGGAATTGGATCTGAATGAGACAGAGCTGCAAAAAGTCATCAGCCTTGCTCTCTCCTCCAGGGTCATCAAAGTCCAGCGACTAGACAAAGGTCAAGACAACTGGCAATGGCCCAGGATGTGGTGGATGACCTTGGCCTTTCTAAATTGAGGTCTTTCCCAGGTCTCAGTTTGTCAGAGGCAACACCCATTCAATGACAAAGGGCTAAGTAAGAATTGAGAAAAAGATAGCCCAATTTACCATCCCAAAGGCACTACAGATTGATAGAGTAACCTCAGTTCCTTCTGTTGGAAGGGTTACTGGTCATAAATCTAGGTTTAATCCATATCACTCATATCCACGCTCCAGTTAGTAGCCAAAGAGATAATTCTAAAGTTTAGTCCTTGGCTTTGTGACTCCCCTGTTTTAAAAGCCCCAGTGGTTCCCAAATTGTTATGACCAGCACAGCTCCCTACTGCATGAGGCTGCCTCTTGTTAGGAAAGGTTTCCAGAGCAGTTACCAATGGAGCTGAACCTTGAAGAAAACTGGACATT